CTGCCACTGCCCTTTAAAGTGGATGTGAACCCTCACATATACCAAGTCAAGTGACTCTCAATACACAGAGATGAAACAAATCCTCCTACATACACTTTACCTGTCTACCTGCAGGCTTCCCGTCTCTACATCTGTTCAATGTACACAATTTATAAAGTTTGGCTGAGCATTCAGAAAACAGGCAGCGGAGAGCTGAAATTACACACTGCAGAGTTCAGTGAGGAGAGCTCTGAGAGCTGATTGGAGGATAGGGACACACCCCCTTTCATACAGCACACAGGAACAGAGCTGAGACTGTCAATCACAGGCTGTGTGCTGGAGGTCCCTCCCCTGTCATCATTTTTTTTTGGTGTCTGGAAAACGTGTCAGAAGTGACTCCTGCTGATAGCAGAGGAACGAGGCAGCACATGCTATAGAGAGAGTGTGATTTGTTCATATTTAATGTCTGAAGTTTACAACCTTTTTATAGGTGGATATAGTCATGTAAGCATTATCCGACCTTTCAGAGGGAAGATCTATTGGCTGTCCATCCAATAAATATATGGCCTCCCATCCAATAAATATATGGCCTTCCATCCAATAAATATATGGCCTCCCATCCAATAAATATATGGCCTCCCATCCAATAAATATATGGCCTTCCATCCAATAAATATTTGGCCTTCCATCCAATAAATATATGGCCTCCCATCCAATAAATATATGGCCTCCCATCCAATAAATATATGGCCTTCCATCCAATAAATATTTGGCCTTCCATCCAATAAATATTTGGCCTCCCATCCAATAAATATATGGCCTCCCATCCAATAAATATATGGCCTTCCATCCAATAAATATATGGCCTCCCATCCAATAAATATATGGCCCCCCATCCAATAAATATATGGCCTTCCATCCAATAAATATATGGCCGCCTCCCATCCAATAAATATATGACCGTCCATCCAATAAATATTTGGCCTCCCATCCAATAAATATTTGGCCTTCCATCCAATAAATATTTGGCCTCCCATCCAATAAATATTTGGCCTTCCATCCAATAAATATTTGGCCTCCCATCCCATCCAATAATGATTCGACCGTCCATCCAATAAATATTTGGCCTCCCATCCAATCCAATAATGATTCGACCGTCCATCCAATAAATATTTGGCCTTCCATCCAATAAATATATGGCCTCCCATCCAATAAATATATGGCCTCCCATCCAATAAATATATGGCCTCCCATCCAATAAATATTTTGCCTCCCATCCAATAAATATTTGGCCTTCCATCCAATAAATATTTTGCCTCCCATCCCATAAATATATGACCTTCCATCCAATAAATATATTTTGCCTCCCATCCAATAAATATTTGGCCTCCCATCCAATAAATATTTGGCCTCCCATCCAATAAATATTTGGCCTTCCATCCAATAAATATTTGGCCTCCCATCCCATCCAATAATGATTCGACCGTCCATCCAATAAATATTTGGCCTCCCATCCAATCCAATAATGATTCGAACCGTCCATCCAATAAATATTTGGCCTTCCATCCAATAAATATTTTGCCTCCCATCCAATAAATATTTGGCCTTCCTTCCAATAAATATTTGGCCTCCCATCCAATAAATATTTGGCCTTCCATCCAATAAATATTTTGCCTCCCATCCAATAAATATATGGCCTCCCATCCAATAAATATTTGGCCTTCCATCCAATAAATATTTTGCCTCCCATCCAATAAATATTTGGCCTTCCATCCAATAAATATTTGGCCTTCCATCCAATAAATATTTTGCCTCCCATCCAATAAATATTTGGCCTTCCATCCAATAAATATATGACCTTCCATCCAATAAATATTTGGCCTCCCATCCAATCCAATAATGATTCGACCGTCCCATCCAATAAATATTTGGCCTCCCATCCAATAAATATTTTGCCTCCCATCCAATAAATATGTGGCCTTCCATCCAATAAATATTTGGCCTCCCATCCAATAAATATTTGGCCTCCCATCCAATAAATATTTTGCCTCCCATCCAATAAATATATGACCTTCCATCCAATAAATATATGACCTTCCATCCAATAAATATTTGGCCTTCCATCCAATAAATATTTGGCCTCCCATCCAATCCAATAATGATTCGACCGTCCATCCAATAAATATTTGGCCTTCCATCCAATAAATATATGGCCTCCCATCCAATAAATATTTGGCCTTCCATCCAATAAATATTTGGCCTCCCATCCCATCCAATAATGATTCGACCTTCCATCCAATAAATATTTGGCCTCCCATCCCATCCAATAATGATTCGACCGTCCATCCAATAAATATTTGGCCTCCCATCCCATCCAATAATGATTCGACCGTCCATCCAATAAATATATGACCTTCCATCCAATAAATATTTGGCCTTCCATCCAATAAATATATGGCCTCCCATCCAATAAATATATGGCCTCCCATCCAATAAATATATGACCTTCCATCCAATAAATATTTGGCCTCCCATCCAATAAATATTTGGCCTCCCATCCCATCCAATAATGATTCGACCGTCCATCCAATAAATATACTGTATGCTCTCCACTCATCAAAGCCGCTATATTCAGGGACTGGAATGATTAGGAAGAAGTTGAAAGACGACGTTTGAGGAACAATAGAAATGAAACAATGTTTTGCGAGTTGTCTGATTGATCCTTCTCACGGGCGCCCTTCTCACGGCTTAATTCTTGCTGAATCTTTATCTCTACACGACCAAAAATAAAGAACTAAGAAAACTTCCCCATCAGACATCAATGATAAGAATCTCAGCATGCTCTCTAATTAACTAACTTTCTCTTCTGTAGCTAATGATACTCTACAAAGCCGGTGTGTCTGAGCCATTGACTGAGAATTTCTAGCTCCTCGTTAATCACCATAACTACAGGTGCTCAGCAATACGAGATGTGAAGCCCAATCACTTAGGAACAAATGGATTATCAAAACAGCTGCAGACCCTTCATGGAATACTGGCCAAATATTCCCTACATCCTCCCACCAGCACATTTCCAGCACAGATCGCAATAAAGCCCAAAAAAGTGTGTCACCCATATCTACTGGCTTCAAAACACAACCAAACTAAAGGCTGTCCCACATGGAAGAAAAATATATTTGAAATATATTTTTAAAAATATTCTTCCCAAAAATATTGACATGTATTTTAAATAGTACAATTTTGGCCGCATTCAATATATTTCAAAATATTATTATTATATTATACAGGATTTATGGCGCCAACAGTGTGCTCAGCGCTGTACAATATAATGGGAGACAATACAGCAACAATACAGATCAATACAAGAGGAATAGGAGGGCCCTGATCCCGGGAGCTTACAATCTAAGGGGGAGGGCCGGATCCTGGGAGCTTACAATCTAAGAGGGAGGGGCTGATCCTGGGAGCTTACAATCTAAGAGGGAGGGCCTGATCCTGGGAGCTTACAATCTAAGAGGGAGGGGCTGATCCTGGGAGCTTACAATCTAAGAGGGAGGGCCTGATCCTGGGAGCTTACAATCTAAGAGGGAGGGCCTGATCCTGGGAGCTTACAATCTAAGAGGGAGGGCCTGATCCTGGGAGCTTACAGTCTAAGAGGGAGGGGCCTGATCCTGGGAGCTTACAATCTAGGAGGGAGGGCCTGATCCTGGGAGCTTACAGTCTAAGAGGGAGGGGCCTGATCCTGGGAGCTTACAATCTAAGAGGGAGGGCCTGATCCTGGGAGCTTACAATCTAAGAGGGAGGGGCCTGATCCTGGGAGCTTACAATCTAAGAGGGAGGGCCTGATCCTGGGAGCTTACAATCTAAGAGGGAGGGGCCTGATCCTGGGAGCTTACAATCTAGGAGGGAGGGCCTGATCCTGGGAGCTTACAATCTAGGAGGGAGGGGCCTGATCCTGGGAGCTTACAATCTAGGAGGGAGGGCCTGATCCTGGGAGCTTACAATCTAGGAGGGAGGGCCTGATCCTGGGAGCTTACAATCTAGGAGGGAGGGCCTGATCCTGGGAGCTTACAATCTAGGAGGGAGGGGCTAGTGGTACAAAAGGTAGTAACTGTGGGGGATGGACTGGTTGGAAGAGTAGAAGTTTCCATTATTAGCTGAGGGCAGGATAGGCTTCCCTGAAGAGATCGGTTTTCAAAGATTGCCTAAAAGTGAGCAGAGTAGGCGACAGTCTGATAAATTGGGGTAGAGAGTTCCAGAGGATGGGGGAAGCTCTGGGGAAGTCCAGGAGACGAGCATGGGAGGAGGAGACAAGGGAGCTAGAGAGCAGGAGGTCGTGCGAGGAGCAGAGAGGATGGTTTGGGTGATATTTAGAGACAAGATCGTTGATGTAATTTGGGGCGGAGTTATAAATGGCTTTTACGTTATTGTTAGTGTTTTGAATTTTATCCATTGGGCAATGGGAAGCCAGTGAAGGGATTGGCAGAGAGGGGTGGAGGACACTGAGTGGAGGCCAGTGAAGGATTGGCAGAGAGGGGTGGAGGACACTGAATGGAGGCCAGTGAAGGATTGGCAGAGAAGGGTGGAGGACACTGAGTGGAGGCCAGTGGAGGGATTGGCAGAGAGGGGTGGAGGACACTGAGTGGAGGCCAGTGGAGGGATTGGCAGAGAGGGGTGGAGGGCACTGAATGGAGGCCAGTGAAGGATTGGCAGAGAAGGGTGGAGGACACTGAATGGAGGCCAGTGGAGGGATTGGCATAGAGGGGTGGAGGACACTGAGTGAAGGCCAGTGAAGGGATTGGCAGAGAGGGGTGGAGGACACTGAATGGAGGCCAGTGGAGGGATTGGCAGAGAGGGGTGGAGGACAGTGAATGGAGGCCAGTGGAGGGATTGGCAGAGGGGGGCGGAGGACACTGAATGGAGGCCAGTGGAGGGATTGGCAGAGAGGGGTGGAGGACACTGAGTGGAGACCAGTGGAGGGATTGGCAGAGGGGTGGAGGACACTGAATGGAGGCCAGTGGAGGGATTGGTAGAGAGGGGTGGAGGACACTGAGTGGAGACCAGTGGAGGGATTGGCAGAGGGGTGGAGGACACTGAATGGAGGCCAGTGGAGGGATTGGTAGAGAGGGGCGGAGGACACTGAGTGGAGGCCAGTGGAGGGATGGGCAGAGAGTGGTGGAGGGATTGGCAGAGAGGGGTGGAGGACACTGAGTGGAGGGATTGGCAGAGAGGGGTGGAGGACACTGAGTGGAGGGATTGGCAGAGAGGGGTGGCAGATACAGAACAGTTAGTAAGGTGGATGAGTCTGGCGGCAGCGTTCATGATAGACTGAAGAGGGGATAGCCTGCGATGAGGTCGGCCAATGAGGAGGGAGTTACAATAGTTAAGGTGAGAGATAACAAGGGAAATAATAAGTTGCTTAGTGGTTTCTGGGGTTAGGAACGGGCGTATATTAGAGATGTTGCGTATCTTGCAGATGTTGCGGAGGTTGGAGATGTTGCGGAGGTGAAGTCTACAAGATTTGGACAGTGATTGGATTTGGGGCTGGAAGGACAGATGGGAGTCTAGGATTACACCTAGTACCCGGGCATGAGGGGAGGGACTGATGATTGTGTTATTGATCTTGATGGAGAAGTCGGGGGGGCACGGGCTGGGGGGAATACTAAGAGCTCAGTTTTGTAAAGATTGTGTTTGAGGAAGTGGAGTGACATCCATGCCGATATGTCACTTAGTAGGTTAGTAATGCGAGAGGAGACTGAAGGGGCGAGGTGGGGAGGAGACTGAAGGGGCGAGGTGAGGAGGAGACTGAAGGGGTGAGGTGAGGGGTAGAAAAATAGATTTGTGTTTCCTCACCATAGAGATGGTACTTAAAGCCATGGGAGTTTATCAAGTGACCAAGGGAGGAGGTGTAGATGGAGAAGAGAAGGGGTCCAAGGACAGAACCTTGAGGGACCCCTACAGAAAGAGGAAGTGAAGGGGAGGAGGCAGCATTATAGGTAACGTTGTAGAAGCGCTGCGATAGTGCGATAAGTAGGAGAACCAGGAGAGAGCAGAGTCTCTGAGACCAAGAGAGTGGAGTTTTTTTGAGGAGGAGGGAATGGTCAACCATATCAAAAACCACAGAGAGGTCAAGTAGTAAGAGTACGGAGTAGTGGCCATTGGTTGGGATGAGTACGGAGTAGTGGCCATTGGTTGGGATGAGTACGGAGTAGTGGCCATTGGTTGGGATGAGTACGGAGTAGTGGCCATTGGTTGGGATGAGTACGGAGTAGTGGCCATTGGTTGGGATGAGTATGGAGGAGTTGCCATTGGTTGGGATGAGTATGGAGTAGTGGCCATTGGTTGGGAGGAGTACGGAGTAGTGCCATTGGTTGGGAGGAGTACGGAGTAGTGGCCATTGGTTGGGATGAATACAGAGTAGTGGCCATTGGTTGGAATGAGTACGGAGTAGTGGCCATTGGTTGGAATGAGTACGGAGTAGTGGCCATTGGTTGGAATGAGTACGGAGTAGTGGCCATTGGTTGGGATGAGTTATGGAGGAGTTGCCATTGGTTGGGATGAGTATGGAGTAGTGGCCATTGGTTGGGAGGAGTACGGAGTAGTGGCCATTGGTTGGGAGGAGTACGGAGTAGTGGCCATTGGTTGGGATGAATACAGAGTAGTGGCCATTGGTTGGAATGAGTACGGAGTAGTGGCCATTGGTTGGGAGGAGTACGGAGTAGTGGCCATTGGTTGGGAGGAGTACGGAGTAGTGGGCCATTGGTTGGGAGGAGTACGGAGTAGTGGCCATTGGTTGGGAGGAGTACGGAGTAGTGGCCATTGGTTGGGAGGAGTACGGAGTAGTGGCCATTGGTTGGGAGGAGTACGGAGTAGTGGCCATTGGTTGGGAGGAGTACGGAGTAGTGGCCATTGGTTGGGAGGAGTATGGAGTAGTGGCCATTGGTTTTAGCAGTTAGTAGATCATTAGTGAGTTTTAGTAGGGCGGTGTCAGTGGAGTGTAGCGAGTGAAAGCCAGACTGTGAAGGGTGAAGAAGGTTGTTGTCAGTGAGGTGGGAGATCAGGCGATTGTAGACTAAGTGTTCTAGGAGTTTAGAGGTAAATGGCAGCAGGGAGATGGGTCTTAAGTTGTTCAGGTTGGTGGGGTCCAGGGAGAGCTTTTTAAGTATGGGGGTGATGTGCACATGCTATAGAGGGGTGGGGAAGGCACCAGTAGAGAGGGAGAGATTGAAGATGTGAGTGAGGGAGCATAGGATGGAAGAAGGGGGTGACCGTAGTAGTTGTGAGGGGACAGGATCCAGGGGGCAGGTAGTGAGACGGGCTTCTGAGAGAACCTTAGTGACCTCTTCGGTAGTAGAAGGTCAGAAGAGGAAAGTGTTGAGGGAGGTTTAGTATAAGGTATGCTAAGTGGGATGGATGTCTGTGCAGTGGAGATGCCCTACGAATTGCATCAATCTTGTTTTTGAAATGATTTGCAATCTCGTGAGCAGTGAGTGAGGTACTGGGTGGAGGTGGAGAAAGTAGAGAGTTAAAAGTAGAGAAGAGACGACGAGGACCGGATGACAAGGTATTAATAGGAGTGACAAAGTCATCTTGTTTGGCAGCATGGAGGGAGGAATTGTATGTGAAGAAAGCAGATTTATATCGGGTGAATGCTTGCTGGGATTTGGTTTTACACCACAATCGCTCCAGCACACGACTATGTCTCTTAAGATGTCTGGTGTGGTCAGTCTGCCACGGATGTAATGGTCGGGGCCTGATACTTCGTGTTGTTAGAGGAGCAAGTGAGTCTAATGTGGATGACAGTGAACTGTTATAGACAGCAGTGGCCAGGTCAGGGCAGGACAGGGGAGAGATTCTGTCATAGAGTTGGTCAGTTGCAGAGTGGAAAGGAGCCGGGTTCAAGTTGTGAAGGTTTCTGTGGGTAATTGTTGGCTGCTTGGAGGGATAGGTGTTTGAAGACGAGGAGACTGAAGGTGATGAGATTGTGATCAGAGAGAGGAAAGGGGGTGTTTGTGAGGTTGTAGGGAGTGCAAAGATGGGAGAAAACAAGGTCTAATGTATTCCCATCAGAGTGAGTGGAGGAGGGCGCCCGTGGGAGTGAGTGGAGGATGGCGCCCGTGGGAGTGAGTGGAGGAGGGCGTCCATGGGAGTGAGTTGAGGACGGCGTCCGTCAGAGTGAGTGGAGGACTGTATACATTGTGCTAATGCAAAAGATGAGGTTAGGTTGAAGAGTTGGGATGTAGCCGGGTTGTTGACATTAACAGGGATGGTAAAATCTCCAAGAATGATAGCGGGTAGTTCAGAGGAGAGAAAGTAGGGTAGCCAGGCGGAGAAGTCATCAAGAAAGCGGGACACGGGTTCAGGAGGCCGATAGATCACTGCAATCCTCAGAGAAATGGGAGAAAACAGCCGGATGCAGTGAGTCTGGAAAGAAGAGAAGGATAGAGAGGGAGGGTTAGGGAGGACTTGAAAGGTGCTCAGTGGGGATAGAAGCAAACCAACCCCACCTCCTTTCCAACCACTGGGTCTGGGTGAGGGGTCCAGAGGAGGCCTCCATAGGAAAGTGCTGCGGGGAGAATAAGAATCTGCTACTTGGAGCCAGAATTCTGTAATTGCTAGTAGGTTAAGTTAGCGGGAGACAAAAAGTTCATGGACAGAGGTGAGCTTATTACTGACAGAGCGGGCATGAAAAAGGGAGGGCAGTTTTTGAGAGCATGGGGACTGATATTAAATTGAGGGGATTGCGGCTATTCCCGGAAGAAGGAGGATGCCTGGTGTGGGGGTGAGAGACTGGAGGACCAGGGTTTGGGGAGATATCCCCCAGAGGTTAGAAGGAGGGTGCTGGTGTGGGGGTGAGAGACTGGAGGACCAGGGTTTGGGGAGATATCCCCAGAGGTTAGAAGGAGGATGCCTGGTGTGGGGGTGAGAGACTGGAGGACAAGGGTTTGGGGAGATATCCCCAGAGGTTAGAAGGAGGATGCCTGGTGTGTGGGGTGAGAGACTGGAGGACAAGGGTTTGGGGAGATATCCCCAGAGATTAGAAGGAGGGTGCCTGGTGTGGGGGTGAGAGACTGGAGGACAAGGGTTTGGGGAGATATCCCCAGAGGTTAAGAGAAGAAGGAGGGTGATGTACACAAGCGCACATGCCTTCCAGTCCTGGTGTTTGGGTCAGCAGGAGAGTGATGTATCAGCAGGAGGTGATGAGAGCAGTAGTAGGGAGATGGTAGCAGTGAGGGGGAGATGTACAAGTTTTGGGGTGGAGCAGAGGGGTAAAGAAGTGAGATTTTGGGAACGCAAGATAGTGATATGAAAAAGGAGGAGTAGAGGGGACATATGAAAGGTACACGGAGTGGGACTCGGACTTGTAAGAGATGTTTCCCGGGGTGTTTGCTTGCAGTCTGTCCAGCATGCAGTAGAGTTTCTTGCTGTTGTATCTTTCTGCTGTGTTTAACTGCGTCTTAGCACTCCATCAACGCAGCACTCATGCAAATGCAGCACCCCATCTGTGACTGTGCCCCCCCAATCAGTGAACTCCCCCCATAAGCTGTTCTAAATTTTTAGGGAGATGGCCAAATGAGCACTCTTCTCTGCCCCAATTAGAAACTGATAAGGATCACATGAATAGGGGGGATGTTTCTCAAACACACCAGACACAGGCCACAGTCATAAAAAAGGGTGCAACTAGAGGTGAGAACTAAACAACATATACAAGAATATATATACACTAGTTGTTCTGAAATTAAGAGGAGTCAATGCGTTATTGTAGTTCAGAGTGGAGTGAAGATAGGAGCATTTACCTGTGAAAAGCAGAGAAGACATGATTAGATTGCTTAACAATATATATGTGACTTTTCTATGAGCAGATACATCAAATTAAATGAAATAAAACCAAAAATTATAAAAATTATATATAAAAATTATGTCCAAAGTCCCACCGTGTCCAAAAATAAAATCAAAAAAATCCCAAAAATAATCCTCACAAGTGAAACACAAAAACTTAAACTTTTTCTTCTTCTTTCATCACCAAAACCTTCTTAATACCCGCACATACTGATATTCGTGCACCTCAAAAAGGAAAAAAAAACTCGACATAGTGTCATACCTTAAATAATAAAACACACGTGCCACTCACTGTGCAGCATGCAAAATAAACGTGTATACTCAAACCAAGTGTCAAAACACCTAAGTGAAATGACAATATGAGTGAAAGCACATTCACATAGGAAAAGCAATGCAATGTGTGAAAACCACTCCACAGATAACACTGCCAGTGTATAACACCACACCCAAAAATATATATAAAAGGTGATAACCAAAGCCCAGATCACCACTCTCCAACTCTAATAAGGATGGGTAATTACCCTAAAGCAGAAACAGCAGGGCAGATTAACCACTCTGGGTTACACTCTCCTCTCATCAATTTTCTCCAAAGACTAGGGTCACTTCCTCCACTTTTCTCCAGAAAACCAGTCACAATATAAAAAGATATTCTTCTTTATTGGTAACTCACATAAAATTCTGTGGTAAGGAGGAGCTGTTTCTGCTTTAGGGTAATTACCCATCCTTATTAGAGTTGGAGAGTGGTGATCTGGGCTTTGGTTATCACCTTTTATATATATTTTTGGGTGTGGTGTTATACACTGGCAGTGTTATCTGTGGAGTGGTTTTCACACATTGCATTGCTTTTCCTATGTGAATGTGCTTTCACTCATATTGTCATTTCACTTAGGTGTTTTGACACTTGGTTTGAGTATACACGTTTATTTTGCATGCTGCACAGTGAGTGGCACGTGTGTTTTATTATTTAAGGTATGACACTATGTCGAGTTTTTTTTTCCTTTTTGAGGTGCACGAATATCAGGATGTGCGGGTATTAAGAAGGTTTTGGTGATGAAAGAAGAAGAAAAAGTTTAAGTTTTTGTGTTTCACTTGTGAGGATTATTTTTGGGATTTTTTTGATTTTATTTTTGGACACGGTGGGACTTTGGACATAATTTTTATATATAATTTTTATAATTTTTGGTTTTATTTCATTTAATTTGATGTATCTGCTCATAGAAAAGTCACATATATATTGTTAAGCTGGCCTTCAAGGGTGAAGGTAGATCACTTTTCTGGGATATTATAGGTTAAAGTGTTGTGATATAGAAGTATAAATGATTAGATTGCTGTGTTTAACTGCTTCTTAGCACTCCATCAACGCAGCACTCACACAAACGCAGCACCCCATCAGTGACTGTGCCCCCCCCATCAGTGACTGTGCCCCCCCTTCTAGTGGACTATGTAACATTGATATTAAATGAATTGGGAGATGTATTTCCAGGATGACATTATCTGTTCTCTCATTGATTTCTTTCATTGCCTGGAGCTTCTCCTTAAATGAAACCTGTTCCCGGTGATATGCCGGACAAATGCCATACTGATGGGTGGAAGCTTAGCTTAGAGTTGCCATACTTGGCTGGACTGCTGACTCAGATAAAAGGACTTATTCGGACCATTGCTTGTCGGGTTTACAGAATAATAGCACTGTGTTGCCTAGTTTTAATTTTGTGTTTTTAGGCACCACAGGCAGTTCCTCACATCTCTGAGAGCCATCAGATATACGATACTTTGCACAGCTCCTTCACTACCATTCAATGTTAGGACACTGTGAGCTTTCTGATATGAGGAATCTTGGACGTTCTCTCACCATTCCATGTCAGTAAACTGTAAGCCATCAGCTATTCATTACCTTGAACAGCTACTTTGTTACCATTTCATGTTAGGAAACTGAGTATCAGATATTCAACACCATGGACAGATCCTTTATTATCAATCCATGTTAGCAAACTATGAGCCATCAGATGTTCGGGCACCTTGGACAGCTCCTTCCTTCCCACCCCATGTTAGTGAACTGTGAGCCCTCAGATATACAGTGCCTTGAAAAGCTCCTCACCACTCGATGTTCTAAACTATAAGCCACTAACTATTCACCACCGTAGACAGCTCCTTCATTAATCTTCCATGTCAATACGCTGAGAGCCATCAGATGTTCAGCACCTTGGACATTTCCTTCAATACCACCCCATGCTAGTGAGCTGAGAGCCATCAGATATTCAGTACCTTGGGCAGCTCCTTCATTTCCACCCCATGCTAGTAAACTG